GAGCCCGTCGCGGGGAGGGGGCTGCTGGAAGCCCAGGGGCGGCGTGCAGACGAGAGGACGAGGATGAGGAGGAGGGTGAGCAGCAGCGGCAGGTGTGGCTGTTTGGTGGTTCGGCGGTAGCTGTCTTGACGCCAATCGGCTGGAGCCACGCGTGCATCCTTTGTGAAAGCCCGTGCGGGACGATGAGGTTTTTGCTGCACTCCCCTGCATCGTGTGTCCGTCGGGGACGGGGAGACTGCATACTCATAAACTTTCAGATGTCCGCGCGTGTTTCTTGGATCGGCGCAGGGCCCCCCCCCTCCCTGGCGCGCGGAGCTCCGACAGTTTAGGCCAATGCAGTTTTGGTTCTTCTGTTGTCAGGGACCCGTGTGTGTTCCTCCTCCCCCTCCTCCTCCTCCTCCTCTTCCTCCTCCTCCTCTTTCAGTTTCTCTTCCTCCTCCTCCTCCTCCTCTTTCAGTAGATAGAGACAACATGTGGACCCTTCACTCCATCTCCCAGTCTACCCCCAATTCAAAGTTGGTCCGAGGCATTCGGCAGCACAGGCGTTGGGATGCCCAACCCAACTTTTAGTCTGGGGGGGAGGTGGAGGGGGGGGGCGCCGCACACGGGGCCCACTACTGAAGGGTTCCCCTCATGTGAGGCGCATTTCAAGAGCGCGGCATCCCCATATCCGTCCGCACTGCCGAGTCCGACTGCACTGTTTATCTAGGCGTGCCCCTTAATGTGTTCGGAAGGGTGAATCAACATGTTCTTGTTCGGATGCTCGCAAGCTATCCATCAACAGTCAAGAACCATATGTTCGCGAACTCCGAGGCCCCCAAGGGCATTGTCCACGGCCGATTGTTTGGGGGAAACAAAGATGTAAACGGTTCGTAAACGGTCCGGGAACAGATGAGCGACGAAGAAAGATGTATCCAATTGCGCCGACATTCACGCGTAAGCTGCCCGCGTAAAGTCGCGCGTGAGCGCCCGCCCTCGTCTCCAACAGAGCGTGGCGCGTCGGCGGCCCGCGTGAGCCACTGCGTAGGGTCGCCATGTCATCTCTCGTACGACCCCCTGTCCTTTCATCGCTCGAATGCCCAAGGAAGCACGCCTCTACGCATCCCAGATGGGGTCGGGGTAGACGCGGTCAGAGGATCGCGCCGCACCGCCGATGCACCGGCGATGCATCGGCCTTGTCCACGGTCGCTCGTTGGGGGAAACAGAGATGTCCAAAACGAACGGTCCGTAAACGGCTCGTCGCCCAAATGCTCGTGTACAGTGGAGGCCCATGCCAAGAACCACCCTGGGCCTCCAGGGTGCCCTGGGTTTCTTGAGGCTCGATGGCTTTGCGATGGACAGCGCGACGTTCCCACACCAAAAATCAATGGACGTCCTGGGGTCTCAGGGTTGGGTTTCTCGTGGAAGGTTTCTTGTGGACTGGCTTCCGCTGAGCGAGGGCCAGCCAGCCCCGGCCGCTCCGCTCGACCTCGCCGCCTGCCGCGCGCTTTGCCCGCTCCGAGGGGAGCTTTTGCTCCCAGTGCCTCGCGGCATCGCATGGGGCGCGGAGCACCGATCGCTCGCCTGTGGCCGCAGCTCCTGACGTCCCCCTCCCCGATCCTCTACTGGCCCCCCCCCGTCTCGATCCTCGGGCCTCGCTCTTCCGAACTTCCGATCCTCGATTACCCCCCCTCGATCCTTGGATCCCCCCCCCCCCCTTCCCGCCGCCCCCCTTCTCGGGATCCCGCAAAAGGGAGGGTGTGCCCCTGTGTGTGTGTGTGTAAGTTCGATCGGGCCTTTTGCACCGAACCGCCCAAAACGGATGTTCACCAGCAGCAGGGCAGCTCCCGATAGTTCCGGGCAGGTGGGGCATGCGGGGGGGCATCTGTTTGCGGCAGTTCGGTGCATCAGCGGATCGAACTCGTGCGCCCCCTCAGGGCCCCCCCTTAGTGGGCCCCGGAAACGGCAGGGCCGTTTTTTTCACCGTTTCCGAAAAGTATCTCTTGAACATGGAGACGGTCTGAAAAAAGGCGATCGGAAACGGTAACAAAAACGGCTCCAGGATTGGATCCGGAACCGGAGTTGGCAACAAAAAAACGGCGACGGATCCGGTAAGAGAAAACGGCGTCGGAACTGGCTAAGAAACGGCAGAACGGAACCGAGAAGAAAAGAACGGCCCTGTCGTTTCCAGGGCCCGCTATGGTCCCCCTTTGGGTTCGGCGGCGAGAGAGGGGGGGGAAGTGAGAAGGAGAAGGCCTTCCCAGAAGGCGGCGGGACTTCTCAGCAGCCCGAGCGCCTTCTCGGCAGTTTCCTCTGCCTTGGGGGAGGCTTAGGACACTTCGCGGAAGTCCGAGCCTTCTGAGAAGGCCCGCCACTTCTCGGACGCCTGGTGGTTTCTCGGTCACAGCTCGGCTCTCTGGTGGCCGTTCGGGGCGATCCAGGCAGCCCTGGAACGCCCTCGGCGAGGCGCAGCCGCTGGAGCGCATCCCGAGGCTGGAAAGCCGCCGAGAACCGACGACGACGCCCGAAAACCTCGAACCCCGAACCCGAAACAGACTTCCCCCCCCCTCGCTCGCCGCCGATTTGGTGGACCCCGACCTCTCTGCGCGCGGCCGCGAGGCGGCAGGCCGCCCTTCGGCGGCGCGCCCGCGCGTGCTCGCCGCGGCCTCCTGACGCACCCCTCGGCGGCGCGCCCACGCCGGCGGAGGCCCTCGTCGATGCCTCGGCCCGGCGGGCCCCGGCGCCGCGCCAGGGGGCGGCGCGCGGGCGGCCCCAGGCAGCCTCGGCCCTCGGCCCACCGATCCTCGGCCCGCCGATCCTCCGATCCTCGACTGCCCCCCTCCCCCCCCCCCTCCTCTCCCCCCCGAGCCTCGATTTTGCGGGCCCCTCCTCGAGCCTCGACTTCCCCCCCCCCTCCTCCTCGAGCCTCGATCCTCCGAGGCTCTCGATGGCCCCTCTGGAGAGCGGCCCCCCCAGGCAGCCTCCTGGCACCTCGTGGTCTGAGAGTCCGCGGCCCCATGGCTGTCAGGCAGCCTAGGGCCGCAGCTCTGCGCCCCCCGCCGCCCCCCATCGACGGCAGGGCTGGACCTGCGCGCTGTTTTGCTGGACTTCGGCGCTGTTGCGTTTGTCGTTTTGGGAGGGAGGCACAGGAAAACAGGCAGAGCCAAACCAACAGCAAAGTAAGCGTTTTTTTATTCATTCTCGTGCCGATTTGCGCGGGCCCTCGCCCCCCCGCCTTTCCCCCCTCCCGCGGAGTAGATCTTGGCTGTTTTTGGCGCCTGTTTCAGGCAGGTGTAGCCTCCCCCCATCCGACGCACTGTCGCAAACAGTGGCAATAAGCAGAGGTCTGGAGCCAGACCCTCCTCCTTCCCCCCCCCTTCCGCCCAGTGTCGAAACGCCGAATAAGAAAACGTTCACAAAACGAACACCAACGTTTAGGTTCAAGTCGGGCACGTCCCTCTACAGGAGAAATAGTCTGGGACGATTCTTTGACTATTTTTGACTATTTGGGAGTATTGACTATTTTTGAATTTTTCCTCCAAGATCTCTGTGTGGGCCTCTCGACTTGATGGCCCGAGAGGCCACTGTTTCGCGGCTCCCGACCCCTGCCACGGGGGCAGTCTCTCGGCCATGCGCAGAGGGGCGATATGGGTGAAGGCTTCTTAAGAAGGCTCGGGCCTTACATATGTATTTATGTATATTTTGTACACGCATCAATATATCTATCTATCTATCTATCTATATATCTATCTATCTATCTATATATCTATCTACATCTATCTCTATCTCTATCTCTATCTCTATCTCTATCTCTATCTCTATCTATATATCGATCTATATATCTACCTACCTACCTACCTACCTATCTATCTATCTATCTATCTATATATCTATCTATCTATCTATCTATCTATATATCTATCTATCTATCTATCTATCTATCTATCTATCTATCTATCTATCTATCTATCTATCTATCTATCTATATATCTATATATCTATATATCTATCTATCTATCTACCTATCTATCTATAGATCTATCTATCTATATATATCTATCTATCTATCTATCTATCTAATCTAAGCTATCTATATATCTACCTATCTATCTATCTATCTATCTATGTATCTATCTATCTATCTATCTATCTATCTATCTATCTATCGGTATATGTATATATATATATGTCGGTCTATCTATCTATATGTAGTGTCGAGATAAGCACGTTTGACAGCAGGATCTGCGTGCCTGTCCGCAGCCTTTCTGTTAAAATAATTTCTCATGGTAGCGTGAGCGTTTCCCGCCGCGGCCAGCGGCGGCTGCATGCCGGAACAGCAACAGGGTACGGACAGCGGTTTCGACCTCATCGAGGACGGACCCAAGAAGAGCAACTCCGAGGAGCTGGTGGACAGCTGGCGCAGGTTTCTCGTCAAGCACGCTCGGCTGACGTTCAAGTGACGGTGTTTTGGACACCTAGGCCAGTGGCTGAAGATCATCAAGTCAGGCCAGCGCAAGGAGATCAATGACAGAGCAGCGGGTCGCCGTGCTTGAGCGCCAGATCGTCGAGCTGAGAGACGCCAGCCTGATGCTCAGGGGATCCCTGGAAGAGCAGCGGGAGGCCGCCTTGGCTGCAGCGGCCAGGGCGGCAGCGGCACCACACCAGCATCAGGTCGTGGACACTCGGCTCATGGGGAAGCCGAAGAATTTCAGTGGCAAGGAGGACGACTGGCACCAGTGGGCCCTCACGATGCGAGCGTACGCAGGGGCCATCAGTGAGCGCCTCCTCTTCCTGATGGACGAGGCCGAGGCGGCGGAGAACGCGGCGAATGCGGCTCTAGAGTCGGACCGCGACAAGGATCTCAGTACCCAGCTCTACTACATCCTCACGATGCTGCTGGAGGGCAAGGCATCGGACAAGGTCACGCTCGTCGGGCGAGGCCAAGGGCTCCTCCTCTGGCGGTCTCTCACGAATGAGCATGAGGGCAAGGCCGTGACGAGGACCACGGGGCTCTTCCAGCA